AGGGGTGCCGGTTGGGGTCTGGGTGCGGGCAGCGGGTGCAGGCCAGGGCTCGGGGTGCAGGCGGCGGGTGCTCACATGCATGATGTGGGTGCTCTGGTTGAAGACGCCCACGTAGGACTTGAGGATGTCCCAGTGGAAGGCGGGTGTCAGTAGGCGCCGGTGCCGAGCCCACTTCTGCCCGCGGCTCAGCAGCAGCCCGTCCCCTGCGGGGAGACACCCAGCTCCATCCATGGGGCACCCATGGGTGCTGCCCACCCATCCCGCCGCCCCCAAGCACCCACTCACCCAGCCAGGGCTTGAGGAAGCCATAGAAGAGCTGGTCCTTGGGGGCGACGAAGGCTGCGGGAGGGGAGAGCGGGAGCTGGGGAGGGGTGCCACCAGGGTGGCATCAGGTCCCCTCAGGGGCTTCCAAGGAGGGTGGGGTCCCCAGGGAGAGGGGACCCCCCCCGCCTGCACCCATAACCGCCACAGGATGGGGTTTTGGGTACAACCAGGCCACCCGGCTGGCCATGGTGACACCTTTGGGTGGCTCTGGGGACCCTCAAGGATAGGTTGGTGGCCACCATGGCATGGGCATTTGGGCACTCACTGGGCCGGCCATGGGTGACACCTCTGGGTGGCCCTGCGGACCCTCAGGGGCAGGTTGGTGGCCACCATGGCATGGGCATTTGGGCACTCACTGGGCCGGCCATGGGTGACACCTCTGGGTGGCCCTGCGGACCCTCAGGGGCAGGTTGGTGGCCACCATGGCATGGGCATTTGGGCACTCACTGGGCCGGCCATGGGTGACACCTCTGGGTGGCCCTGCGGACCCTCAGGGGCAGGTTGGTGGCCACCATGGCATGGGCATTTGGGCACTCACTGGGCCGGCCATGGGTGACACCTCTGGGTGGCCCTGCGGACCCTCAGGGGCAGGTTGGTGGCCACCATGGCATGGGCATTTGGGCACTCACTGGGCCGGCCATGGGTGACACCTCTGGGTGGCCCTGCGGACCCTCAGGGGCAGGTTGGTGGCCACCATGGCATGGGCATTTGGGCACTCACTGGGCCGGCCATGGGTGACACCTCTGGGTGGCCCTGCGGACCCTCAGGGGCAGGTTGGTGGCCACCATGGCATGGGCATTTGGGCACTCACTGGGCCAGCCAAGGGTGACCTCTGGGTGGCTCTGGAGACCCTTGGGGTTGGGTTGGTGGCCACCACAGGATGGGTGCCTGGGCACGGCCGGGTCACCAGACCAGGCGCGGTGACACCTCTGGGTGACCCTGGGGGACCCTCAGGGGCGGGTTGTGACCCTCGTGTCCTACCTGAGGCCAGGAGGAGGGGGCGGAGGGTGTCGGGGTGGAAGAGGCGTAGGATGGGCGTCCATGGCGAGAGCCACCACAGGCAGCCACGCCGGTACCGTGCCACCAGCTCGTCCACCTGCCGCAGTCCCTCCTCCGTGCTCTTCCCCTGCGCCACAGGGCACCCCGGGGCTCAGTGACAGGCTTGGGGACACCCTTGTCCCCCAGGGTCATGGCCAGCCTTGGGGACATGCTTGTACCCAGCTCGTGGCCAGCCGTGGGGATGGTCTCAGCTTGGGTTCACAGATGGACTTGGGGGACACGCAGAGCTCATGTGCCACCACCCTGTCCCTGCCACCCCCCCAGCTGCCACCACCCTGTCCCCACTGTCCCCCATCCTAGGTGCCACCACCCTGTCCCCACTGTCCCCCATCCTAGGTGCCACCACCCTGTCCCCACTGTCCCCCATCCTAGGTGCCACCACCCTGTCCCCACTGTCCCCCATCCTAGGTGCCACCACCCTGTCCCCACTGTCCCCCATCCTAGGTGCCACCACCCTGTCCCTGCCACCCCCCCAACCCCCC